CTAGTACCTGTAAATGTGAACTTATTTGGAAATACAGTTTTGCAGGTGTAATCAAGTTAAGATGAGGTCACACTACAGTGTAGGGGGCCTTGATCCAATGACTCTGGTGTCTTTATTTAAAAAAAAAAAAAGGGAAATCTAAACACAGAAACATAGGAAGGAAGGTCATGTGCTAATGGTGACAGAGATTGATGGAATGCAGACAAGGAACACTAAAGACTGCCAGCAGCTATCAAAAGCCAAGATGGAGGCATAGGATGGCTTCTCTCTCAGAGCTTCCAGAAGGAACCAATCCTGTCTGCACTTTGACTGCAGGCTTCTCACCTCCAGAAGTGTGATAGAATGTATTTCTGTTGCCTGAAGACCCCTAGTATGTGGTCATTTGCTGTGACAGCCTTGGAAAGTAATAGGGAGAGAAAGATGCCCACTTGGGAGGCACTGTAGAATTAGAATGACAGGATTTGCGGTCTTCTTACACGTAGGAAGACTAGGAATGGATCAAAGCCCACTCTCTGGAGTCCAGCTCAGGGAGTTTCACTATAAATAAGCTCTTTAAGGGACTGAGATGGCTTGCTACAGCACTTGATGCACTAAGTCAGTGTGCAATGAGCTTGTTAGCTCAGCAGTCACCTTTAAGGCTGTCAGGGAGCCCTGTATGTCTTAGTCATTTGCATCAAAGTTCCACAAGGTGGATCTGGGGATAGCAACACTCACCTGATGCTGTCACCAAGTGCCAAGTCAGTTCAGAACCATGAACATAGAAATCTGCTCTCCTGAATCTCTGGCTATAGAGGTTTGGGATGACATGTTAGACGCATAGATTCTAGCACCATGAGTCCAATGGGCTTCAGAGTTCATTTCACTGTCTGTCACCACAGGCCACACCCTGAACTCTGTTCCTCCAGCCCTGATCATGGAATGGCAATCTCTCTGAGTGGGCACTGACCACCCAAAGTGGAATGCCCCTCCCAGCAGCCTGCAGAGTGTCCCCAGTGTCCCCTGCTCTTGAGGCTTCTGCCTGGGATTGACAGATTCAGTGTCTCTGCTGTCTCAGTTAGTCCTTTAAATTTGCCACATTCCCTTAGGCTTCTCTCCTCCTCAGCAGTTTGGTCCTTGAAGGACCTGGTTGAGGGTTTACCTAGCCAAGTCCTTGCCACATTGCGGGAACCAGCTCAGCACACATGTGCCACAATCTGCAAGTGTAGTCTTGGCACACAGCATACCAAGAAGATGAGAATATGGAAATACCACAAAAGAAACAGAGGTTCAAGGAAATCTGAGCAATATCTAGGCAGGAGGATGACATGGGAGGGGCCCCAGGAGCAGCCAGCTGCTATCTTCCCTATGTTTCTTCTCTGCCTTCTCCAGCACTTGCCCCTCTTGATGGAGGTCTCTAAGAAACTGGGGCAGCAGAGAGGAGCCTCGGGAGTGACAACAGTTTGCTCCAATCTGGGGCCACTCCTGTTACTTTGAACTTTGACTTCTCCAAATTCAAATCTGTTCATGCCTTTCCAAGTCAATCCTCTGAGTTTCTGGGTGCTCTGGAAGGTGCAGCCCAGTGACAATGATGTAGACCTGGTGCAGATATGGGATTAGCATGTCTAGCAGCTCCAAACATTCTTGGCCTTCACTGATCTTTGTGCCACCCACTGCCACTTCTGTGAGTCCTCTGGAGGGCAAGATGTGCCCTGTGGAACTACCATGCACATATTTGATCTGGATGGATCAGAGGGACAGTGAGTCTCTACAGGAAGTGTAACACATCACATCCCCTCTCTCTTACCTTGTTGTGAAGAATGCTCTACCATAATTGCCTTTCTCCTTGGTTTTCCTTCTTACTCTGTCCCCCATTCAAGCAGATGGAAAGGTTGTTCCTCATCACCAGGGGAGGGATTGGAGGAGAACCAGCCTACATTCTAGATTCAGCCTCCCGGGAAAACTTAAGGAAACTTTAGAATATTTTCAGAACAGTTAGAAGATTTGGAGAGGCTTGATATCTTTCCTAAAGAGCATCCTTACAGCCAGGCATAACAGTGCACACCTGTAATCCCAGGACTCTGGGAGACTGAGGCAGGAGGATCACAAGTTTGATCCCAGCTTGGGCAGCTAAGTGGCTTAGTGATAACTTGCCTCAAAAAAAAGTTTAAAAGGGCTGGTGGTGTAGCTCAGTGAGAAGGCCAGGGGTTTAATTTCCAGTAACACATGAAAAGAAAAGAAAAGAAAAGAAAAAAGAAAAGAAAAGAAAAGAAAAGGAAAAGCATCCCTCATTGCTCCTATGCTTTTTGTCTCCATTGTAGCACATGTCACTTGGCTGATGCTTCTAGGAACATACATGTGTTATGCTCTTCTCTTCCACCAGAAGCCCAACACCTTCCCCAATGGCTGGCATTTGGCTCTGGTCATTGTTGCATACCTGGCACACAGAAATGGATCTGACACTCAGCGGGTGTTCAATAAGCATTTGTTGGATGAACAAAGGACATGGAAGGAACATTTTGATCACAGACTTAAAAGGAGTCCAGCTTTCCCTGGTGGGGGAAATCACTGGCTTAGGGATGAGGGAGGAAAAAAGGGGGCCCTGCAAGATGGGACAGTAGGCTGCTGGTGCAGTATGGCAACGGCAGAGAGCCAAAGAACCTAAGGTCACATGCGTCAGTGCAATGGTTGCCTCTCAACATTAACCTCAGTAGACCAACAGGACAAGGATAGTGCATGCACATCTTACCGCAGCCCATGGAATGGGGGACAGCAGTCTACAAAAATCTCAGGTGGCTGTTGATAGCAGTCTGCAAAGTGCATGGTTCAAAATGGCCCTTAGATAGAGTTGTAGTAATGGTTCTTAGACCTGTGTGTTGGGCTGAGCTTTATTCCAGTGACTTCTGTTTGGTTCATTGTGCACACATGCCTATATTCCTTCTGTTAATGATTTGAAGAGCGGTCAGAGGGGCAGGGTAAGTCAGGCCCATGTGATGTATGAAGCAAATAAAGTCTTTGGTACTAGTGGTTCGGGGGTGGAGGGGCTAGGTGGAGGTGTGGACCATAGAAGAAATATTATTTGTTTGGCTTTGGGCTTGGTTTCTTCCTACTCTTTAGGCCAGTGATCAGGCCTACAGATTCTGGAGCCAATCTTCCTTATATTGTCATCTGTATACACCATACTTCAGCTAAACTAAGCCAATTAGTACTCTAATGTGGGCATTCTTTACTATGACTAATTACATTGGAAATTTATCTGTTCAATAAGAACTGTTTAGGTCTGAGTCTCTTTTTGTATGATTAATTTGTTATGTGGATTTAGAAGTAATTAACCTGCATTTCTTTAAAAAGTATGTTAAAATTCACATTTTTATTATCACAGCAATTAGCTTAGGTTAGTGAGATGGCATTGTGGATCACATCACATACGCATACACACAACTAAGACCAAACTACTTTTTGTTAATATGATCTTCTGCTCTTTGTTAATGTGTCATATCACAAAAGATAAACACATACCACACTGTCTGAAAGGATGGAATTCTCACATCTGACTTTGAATGTGCTATTTTTACCAATATTAACCCACTCATCAAACTACTACTACAGAGACTACCTCCTCTGGACAAGTCCTCAACCACCAGGTAATAATGCATTTTTATCATCTGGTGGGAAGTTGCAGGCTGTTCTGCACACTCTCAAAGGATGCAAAGTGTGTGTCCAGGACCCAGCTCCCCCATCTCCACAGTAGAGCTGAATGCCCAATGTGGAAGAAAAGGCCTCACCACTGCCCTGAGAACTGGCCCTAATTATAGGCCCAGCTATTGGTATATGGTCATAATTATAGAGGCCATGGGCCTTCTTTTTTCTTTCTTTTCTTTTTGGGGGTGGGGGTACTGGGGATTGAATCCAGGGTCTACCACTGTGCTATATTCCCAGCAATTTTAAAATTTTATTTTATTTTATTTTATTTTATTTTAGATAGGGTCTTGATTAGTCTCCCTGGCTGGCCTCAAACTTGTGATCCTCCAGCCTTGGCCTCCTGAGTACTTGAGATTATAAAACCGTGCCACCATACCTAACTATTTACTTTTCAAAAGTATTCATTAATTTATTCAAATGAGTACCGTACAGAGACAGAGTATAAAGTCGGTGAGGTATCCACTGAAAGGGTTTTTAGTGACAAATACATGTCCCTCCCACCTCTGCCTTCCAGTGACTCCATGCCTTTCAGCAGAGGCAACCACAGTTATTGATGAGTTTATTTCAGTTCCAAAGAGAGTTCCGGAACTCAGACCTAAAATGGAATCAGGGAAGCTATTCTGAGTCATGGATAGAGACAAGGGCCTGGAGTCAGACAGACTCTGCTAAAAGCAAGGTGCCACCGCTTGCATTGCAGAGCCTGGATAAGAGCTGGGTTTATCTCACAGGGTGGTTGAGATAAGGAGATGAGCCAACCCAAACAGAGGGCTTAGCACAGTCCCTGGCACATATTTCCACTCACTATGTGTCAGCTCTCATTAGCAATTGGGCAACTGGGTGATGTGGAGGAAGGTGGAAGGAAAAGATGGGCAGGCTGAATCCTTCCTGGGGAAAACCCTAAGCCCTTGATACTCAAAATGCAGTCACTGGAAATTCCTGGGAACCTGTTAGAAATCCAGGATCTCAGGCCCTCCCCAGACCTGCTGAGTCAGAAGCTGCATGGTGACAAGCCCCCTAGGAGAAATGCAGCTATTCCTGTGAACCTCAGAAGCCTGAGGCCTATGCCACAGATCCTGCCCTGGGGAAATGGTGCTGCTATTTCTTCACCTGTGGACATGAGCCCTTAGACCTTGTATGATGAAAACTAATGACAAAAAGCTATCTTCACCCCACTGTGCCATAGTGATTTCCCAAGCCAGATTACCTGTGACCTCACAGACCACTAGAATGTGTCCTCTTTTGTCCTGCAGCTTGAAGGTAACCCGAGAGATAGCCCTGAGGATTGGTGGCGTGTTGTTTTTAAAGTAATATAAGAGACACAGTGGAGCCTGTCCAACAAGCAGCAGATCTGCCAGGATGCCAGTGGGACACCTAAGCCCTGACAGTAGGGGCTGCCTTAGCCAAAGCTGGTCATTACAAATATGAGGTCTCCAAAGGTTGAGGGCAGATAGGCCAGAAGGACTCTCAGGTGACAAGTGCTACTGTTTGCTACTTGCTCCAAACCAGTAGACCATGGGTGGGGATATATGGCACACAGGAAATGGCCTTGCCCTTTAAAACAGAATTGCATACTCTAAGGGCAGATGCAAGTAGTGCACACTGACCCAAACCCATAGCATGCACAACCCAGCAGTGAACCCTGATGTAAGCTATGGGCTTTGAGAGTTTGTGATGCATCAAGTAGGTTCGTGGATTGCAACAGTGGAGAAAGCTGTGCCTGTGTGGGCACCAAGTACAGTATAGAAGAGTTTTCTGTACTTTTTGCTCAGCTTTGCTGTGAATCTAAAACTATTCAAAAGATAAAGTCCATTTTTAAAAAGAGAGAGAGAAAGAGGATGGCACTGGGTCAGCTGCAGGAGAGAAAAAAAAAAACCAAGGTTTCACCCTGAAGCAGTGAACTTTTTTTAAAAGTTACAATGAGAACAGAAATAACTTAGAGCTATTGTTTAATCTAGGCACTCTAGCCAGTTGTGGTTAGTGAACAGAAATGTACCTAGTGTGACAGAGGAAGTAAATTTTAAATTTTGTTTAATTTTAATTAGTGTATTATAAACTTAAAACACTGATATGTGTGATTCTATTAGGAAAAAATTAGTAGATTTGGAACAATTTGGAAATATGAAGCTATACTTTCAATTGTCAATTTCACGAGCTCTAAATGTACATTAAGTATTTCCAATGAACATTTAGCATCCAAATTGAGATACGCCACAAGAGTGGTACACTCAAGAAATTTTAAAAGCTTAATACCAAAAAAGAATGTAGAATATTGTTTAATAATTTATATATTCCTTATGTATTAAGGTAATATTTTGGTTATTTTGGGTTAATAACATATGTTATTATAGTTTATTTTACCTGTATTTTTGTATTTTTTTAAAATGTGGCTTCCAAAAATGTAAAATTATATATGTTTGCTATATACACAAATACATACATATGTCATAAAATATACTGCTGGTGAGAATGTAAAATGGTATAGCTGCTTTGAAAATCAGTATAGTGGTTCCTCAAGAGGTGACATACAAAGTTACCCAAGAGAACTGAAAACATTTGTCCACAAAACACTTGTACACAAATGTTCATAGCAGCATTATTCACAATAGCCACAAAGTAGAAACAATTCAAATGTCCACCAACTGAATGCATGGCTAAAAACAAATGTGATATATCCCTAAAATAATCCCTAAGATTATTCAGCCAAAAAGAAATGAAGTGTTGATAGATGCTCCTACATGGATGATCCTTTAAAAATATGTTGAATGAAAGAAATCGGACACACAAAAGCCACATACTATATAATTCCATTTACACAAAATGCCCAGAATAGGCAAATTCAGAGGCAGAAAGCAGATAAGGTTTGCTGAGGAGTGAGGGTATTTGCTAATCTTAACTCATACCCATTAACAGAGAATGATTGCTAATGGGTATGAGTTTTTTAGGAAATGATAAAAATGTTTTGGAATTAACTAGTGATGATGGTTGCAGACCTTGTGAATTTTTAAAAATTATATATGTGGCTTGCATTAAATTTCTATTAGAGCTGATTTAAGCAAAACATCTGTTTGCCTTCTCACTTCTCACTGGTACAGAATTTAGCCAGAGCTAATCAATGCAGATTAACATTTACTCCCTTCTATGCCTGGGGATATTTGGCAATGACCTTTTTGATAGGCACCATGGGATGGGGTATTGAGGGGAAGAAACTGCTACTGGCCAGAGACACTTCTAAGCATACTACAGTGCACAGGACAGGTGCCCGTAACAAAGAACTACCCACCCCACACTGCCTGCACCGTGAAGATTGGGAGCCCCGCATGAAAGGTTGCTCAGAGGTGCCTACCTCAAGCACAGCCTCCATTGCTCTATCCACTTCCCAAACATCAGAGTCTGGGGATAGCCTTCCCAGCGGACCTTTCTCCTGGAGTCCACAAATCACAGGCATCCTCAGCTCTTCTTCTCAGGACAGCAGGGATTCTGTGGGTGTGGGGACAGTCTAAGCAGCACACTGAAAAGGACCAAGAGTTCTAGAGTGATTGGCTTGCCTCTGGCCTTACTCTCTGATGCTTCCTGAATCCCAAAATGTTAAATTAACGGGTCCTATTCCAGGAAGATTGCCATTTTTCTAGTTCTTTTCTCTTCTACATCTGATTTTTTAAGCCAAAGACAACTGGAATTTGCATGTTCTGTGTTATGAATAGGCTCCTTGTCTGATGTCTGAGGTAAAAAGAAATCCTGACTTGCTTTGGACCACTTGGATGTAAATGACCTATTCTGTCTGTATTAGTTTCTGTTGGCTGCTGTAACAAATTACCACAAACCTAGTGGCTCAAAAGTACATGAATTTATCATATTACAATTCTGAATGTCAGAAATTCCACATGAGTCTCAGTAGGCTAAAACCAAGATGTGAACTGGGCCATGTTTCTTCTGGGGGTTTTTGCAAAAAGAATCTCCTTTCTTTTTTCCAGCTTCCAGAGATGATCAGCCTACCTTACCTTCCACCATCTTCAAATCCAGCAGAGTAGCACCTTCAATTCTCTTTCCAACTCTAACTCTCTCATCTTCCTCCTTCATTTATGAGAACCTTGTGACTACAGAGACTCGCCCACAAAGTTCAAAATAATCCAGGTCAGTAACCTGAATTCCATTCCATTGACCAGTATCCTAATGTATTTACAGGTCCTAAATGCATCCTGTATTTACAGGTCCAGTATGCTAATGTATTTACAGGATTTACTGTATATGTCATTGGGGGGCATTAGTCTGCCAGCCATACTGTTAAATGGACAAGGACAATCAGCTGGGGGATCTCATGGTTACACTCCGCAGCCTTCATTGCATAAGGAAAAGGGATTGAGCATTTTGCTCAACTGAGGAATTCCCTCAGTCTGAATTTTGAGGTAGTTATATGCAGACTTCAGATCCTAAATCTCAGTGGAACTACACCCCAGAATGAACACAAAGAGGTTTATGAAGTACTGTTTTATATGTATATCATTGTATAGTATAAAACAAATTAATATAATTCAATTATTTATTTTGGTTGTTATTGTTTACAAGGATTACTATGTTTCTGAGATTGATGTCATAGTAGCTGAGTTTAAATTCCTTTTACCATCAACTCAACATTTATTGAGCTCTCCTCTCTGTCAAGTACTAGAAGTGCTCAATAAAGCTGAGCCTTAACCCACGAAGAATTTACAGTCTAGCTGCAGGGGAAACCAATCTAATCCAGGATGATTTATGGCAAAGGCTCTGAAGTCAGTAAAATAAAAGCTATATGACTATAGAGGAGGGCATGAATTGGGCTGACCGATTATGCAAGAGATTAGAATCTCAAAAGCATTATGAAATAAGCAACATTTAACCTTGCACCTTCAGGAGTGGGCCAGAATTCTTCAAGGTCAAACCTCAAAAGGGAGTTAGTTCCCTCAGTGTTCTAGAGCATGGGAAACTCTACCTTCATGAGAAGCTTTAGGAAGTTGTCTTAATTTGAATTTATCCCCAAAAAGTAGATCCTGAGATGAGAATTTTGATACAGTAAGGTTGTTTATGTTTTGTTTTGTTTTGAGAGATGACTGCAGAAAGCATGGGAGAGATGGGAATTGTGGGACAGGGATAAAGAAAATAGCCAATGAATGGTGCACAAATGAATATGTTGTTGCTAAGGACAACAGGGGTCTGAACACATGGCATCCCTCTAAGACACTGAGTGACATGTGCTTTAGAATCATTCCATGATAAGAAGATGTGGCTGAGATATTATCTACCAACTCCAACTCTCCATTGGTTAAGAATTTTTCTGACGTTCAGGTGCACTTTGGAGTATGGCCAAGCTACCTCCCAGGTCATGAGGAAGATTCTCAGGAAGTGGGAGCTGTCAAGAATTGTAAATTCTCAAGAGGACCAAGAAGCTATTAGGTAGGACATCATTAGCATCTGCTCCAAAACAACTAGGTAACTTCATAAACAATCTGGATGTTGGGGCCAGTCAGTGGGATACTTTTACCTGAACGATTCTGACTCTCAGTCAGAATTCAATGGTGCCATTATCTCTACTGGCTTCCATTTATCCTATGATGATCTGATTTCCTTATAGAACCTGAACTGCAGTTTTACCACATAACATAGATTGCCCTAGGTATGTTAACTAACCTCTTTGCCAGCTCACAGTTTTGTTGTATGAATTACAGGAAATACCAAGTGTCAGGCTTTAATATAGTACTGGGAACACACAAACACTCAATGAATGATTACTTCTTTGTGAATAACATCACTTGGTCTGCCATCACCAGTGCAAACTTTTGACCAAGTATAGAAGTTGAGATGGTAATCTGAAAAGGTACCTCCAGGATGGTTTCATCTTCAGGCTAACTACATGAGTGATTGATAGGATTTGTACCTTATTGCTTAATTTTGGTAAATAACAATTTCAGAAAAATAATCACTAAATTTCACTAAATTGTCATCTAAATGTTATGCAATCAGCAAAATAAAGCCAATAACATCCTCCATAAGAGCCTCCTCAACCAGTAAATAGACTAATCTCTAGTATAAACTAGGTACATGTGGAAGCTATGTAAGACTTGGGGGAGGCATTTTAATAGATCACTACATTAGTGTATCAAATGGTTCCTGACTTACTTAGGGGTCTGAATGTAATTTCTGAGGGTGACCTTATGTCTTGGTCAGCTCAGGCTGCTATCACAAAATTCTATAGACTGGTTGGCTTAAAAAAGAGACATCTATTTCTCATAGTTATAAAGGCTGAGAAATCAAGATCAAGTTGCTGATTGAATCACAAAAGTGGAGGACCCACTTTTGGCTAGCATACTTCTGCCTTCTCACTGTATCCTCACATGGCAGAGAAAGACAGGGAGCAAGCTCTCAAGTGCCCTTTCTTATAAGGGCACTAATTCTATCATGGGGGTCATGCTCTCATAACCTCATCTAACCATAACCAAAGGCCCATCTCCTGATACTATCATATTAGAGATTAGGGTTTCAACATATGGATTTTTAGGGTTACATTCAGTCCATACCACCTTACCATTATTGAGTAGCTTCCCCTCAGGGGATTTGGCATTTTGTACACTATAGTCTCAGTATATAAGGTTCCAGGAAAATGATAATAAAGGAAACTTTATCCATATTTTTGGTCCTATTTTTTACAATATTAACTCATTTTTTGAGCCTTAGACTTTCAGGGGCATGTACCCAGCATGTAACTTTAGTGTGTGTGTTTATAACTATGCGATTTCCTTAGTAACCAAGAAAACCATTCTTTTGCTGGCTTTTGGGCAGTCTCTTGGTATCTAGAAAAGCTGTAGTATCATAATACATAAAACAATATTTTTCAGTAAAATGGAGTAGAAATTACCTATATTATAAAGTAGCTAAAGGAAGAGAATAGAAGCAATTTCCTTTTTAATATTCTAAGTACAGTGTTAATTGTCTTTGCTAAGAGCAAAAGAAGTGACTATAATAGAATCACAGTGAACTGTAAAGACATTAAACTAAGAAATATGACAAGGGCTTTGGCTTAGGGTCTGCCAATGACCAAACAGTGTGACCACAGGAAAAGAGCTCTTACAAAACTGTAAGATATATATATATCATAGATATGATATATATCATATCTATTATATATATGATATATATGATATATATATCATATATATAATGTAACTTTATTTAATTCTTTGTGCCACAAGAAGACTTTATTTCTCTCAAGGTCATAAAAATGATTCCAATATTTTTTCCAGTAGTTTGTGGTTTTGTTTTTTTATGTTTAAGTCAGAGATCCATCAGAAGTTACTTGGGGCTTATTGGAAGGTACTGGTTATCTTCTCCATATGACAGCCAGTTGTGTTAGCATTGAAGATGTTGGATTTTGTCCCTAAAAGTTGAAAAGTTACTTTTATTATAAATCAAATTTAAATATTAGATTTGACTTTGTACTGTCTACTCAGGTGGGTTTATCTATCCACTGGGGGCTACTACTACATCATTTTGGTTACCATAGTTTTATCATTTGTCTTCATAGATGGTTGCTCAGTTTAATATTTTTCCCAACTTATTTCAAAGATTCAAGTCTATCTAAAATCATAGACAAAAAAAAAAAAAAAGACAAAGCCTATCTTTGGCACCCAGCTCTAACCAAAGACAGCAGTGAGAGATTTGTTACAGGGACAAAACCCCACCCTCACAGCCAAGTGACCTTCCTCTCAACAGCCTCCCATGCTGCCACTGAAATTCCCATGGCTGCACTGCTCCTCAAAATAAAACTCAGCTGTAAATGGCACACCTGTTCTGGATTAGTTACAATAAATCAGGGACTGTCTATTTCAGTTACACGGACAGGTGAAGAACAAGCTTCATTTATAGAAAGTAGAGGTAAATTCATATCATGAGCGTATCTTTTTTCCACTTAGACACTTGACAAGCCCTAAACTTCCTGTTCCCAAGCTCCTATGAATCTTTATAGAAATGTTTTGAGTTGTAGTATTCACTTCATGTCTATTTAAACCTGCAGCTTGAAAACCTTACTGCCCATGAGAATCCTTCAGGTAGTTTATTAACAAATGCAAATCTGGAGTACACTTGGAGTTCTGCATTCATCAAGTGATTCCAGTGAAAGGATCCAGGCCTCCACATTGAGAAGCCACCCCGAGGACTGATGGTGAACTTGGCCTGCCTGAGCAGAAGGCAGCTCTAGGCCCCAGGAACCAACTCTGCTGCAACAGGCTTCTGAAATGAGCTAGTGCTAGTGAGCATCAAATAAACTGAGTTGAAATCAGTCTACAGGGCAATGATGTCAGTATGATACTGACACTGTGTTGATTCATATGCAGTTGTGCTAGGTAAAGGGACCCTAAACAGATGAAAGAAATTATAGAATCTTGGACAGAAAAGGAAAAGGCCTTTAACTTGGCTTTTGCCTTGGCAGCAGGAGCCTTTACAAGAGAGCTGTACAATAGAACAAAATTTGAAGTAGAGCCTGGCCCTGGGGGTCTTTCTGAGCAGCACACTGCAGGTCTGGCTGTCACAGAGAAGGTGTCCAGCCTCGGAGGCCCATTTCAAAGGCAGCTAGGCCAGCTCGGAGGTCTACTTCTGCTTTCGAGGTCTCAGTACCCCTTAGCCTGCTCTAACGAAAGAGTGGCCAGCATTTCTACTCTATTGTGTATCTTAGTAAGTGTGATGCCAGCATTCAGCCAACCTGAGCCATTTCCCCAGACAGCTGAAGTGAGTTCCTCAGTATATATATGTATTTTTTGCTTTTGATCATCCATGGTCTTAAAATGGTCTATTTCCTAAATGACTTGGAGGAAATTTGATTTCCTCAGAAGCCCTTGAAGATTAAGTGTGAGATTTTATAGAATGTGAGGTGTTTCAGGAGTGCATATATCCCTCTAGGGCAGAAACATCTTAAGTGTGACCTACTTCCACTGTTACAAAAGTAGTATTGAATAATCTGATACTTCATTCCTTGGCTAAAATTGTGGGAAGTCAGGAGATGGACCCCAGGATCCCTGAGAAAGCCCTTCAAGATGTGCACAAATTTTAGATCTTGGCAGCCCTACTAAACAAAGGTGGGAACTTGGATTCCTACCCCCAAAATATTCTTGCATTCCACTTCCTGAGGTCTCCAGGACCCTCTCAAGTTACCAGGCTGTGCCTCAAGTTACCTAAGATTGTGCAAAGATTTGAACAAAAACACCCATGCCCTTGCCCTCCCCTAGAACTACTCTAGTGGAATCAGTACCTCCAGGGCAGGGCTTGTAGATGTAGAAGGCATCACAGGTAGTTCTGATGGTTCCCCAGCCTTGCAGTTGTAGTGAATCACCTGGCAGCTTTCAAAACTCCCAGTGCCCAGGCCACATTGTGGATCTGATCATGACAAAATCTCTGGGGGTGGAATTCAAGCAGTTCCCTGGTGACTCCATATTTAGCAAGGGGTGGGCCCACTGCATTTGAGTCTTTTCCAGATCAGGGTTTCCAGGATGTTGGTGTAGATAGGAATCTGATTAAAATGGAGGTTCTAACTCAGGACTGGAGAGCCTGCATTTTTAACTCTTGATCCACAGCCCACACAGTGAGTTGCAGGGATCTAACTACTAATAACCTTTAATTGTTTAACATAGACTGAGTAGAACAACTATAGTGAGACCAGACATTAAAGAATTTTGCCCACCCAGGATGGTTAGTGGCATTTGGCAGAAATGGCACCACATGCTTTGTTATTAAAAACAAAACAAATGTTCATGTTACTCCCCGGGTCTGCCATGGAACGGTGCTGACAAGAGGCTCAACTGCCACGTGTTGAGAGAGGAGCCGGTAAAACCTCTGTCCTGCCCGTTATCAGTAGAGGTCTCGCTTATCAGGCTTCTGGAGCCACTGTTTTAAAAGTTGTTGTTTTGGAAGGACACAAATTGTCATGAAAAGTAATTCAAAATTTCAGGTCCTTCTGTCCCAGATATGAAGGCTATATTGTAAGAAGGTTTAGAATTATCTTCTTTTCTTTTCCTTTATGCCCCAAGATATTTGCTAGAGACATGCTTTGTGTTCTGCCCATTCCTGGATGCCCACACATTTGCAAGCTGTTGTATCTTTATTCTTGCTTTGCCTGACAGCACCTAGGCTGAACTTAGACAAATTTCATGCCACCATCAGCTCAGATCTTAGCACAGAGGAGATAAATCAACTGTTACTTAAAACATAACTGAGAGCTGGTGGTTGAGGGTGGCAGTGTCCACCTTAAGAGACTTGAATATATCATTTAGTAGGAACTGCTGGACTCAGACTGCAAGGTCTTAGTCTCTTTGTCTGCCTTATCCTTTCTGTTTAAATCAATCAATCCTCAGATGGTGAGCAAATCCAGGAATGATGGCAAACCTAGACTGGTCCTTTCATTCCAAATAACACAAATACTTCTACTGTTAACTACCTCTTAGAGACCAAAATAGCCTTGGTTTCTTTGACCTCAAGTACAA